AAGAAGTACTGGCGAGGAGAGTGACACAGGGTGCTGGCAGATTACGGACCTCCCATAGCTGCTGCCAGGCCCCTAATCTGCCATGGGGGCCCCTATATACCGCCTCCTCATGCTGCTGCCAAGTCCAGAGTCTCTCATGGGTCCCCTGGTACGGCCTCCCATTGCTGCTGTCTCCATCGCCACACTCTGCCATGTGCCACTTTCAGGTCTCCTCACACACTGCTGGTGTGTTGAATTTTTTGACATAGGGTGCTGCCAGATTACGGGCCCCCTATAGCTGCTGCCAGGCCCCTAATCTGCCATGGGCCCCTATATACCGCCTCCTCATGCTGCTGCCAGTTCCAGAGTCTCTCATGGGTCCCTGTACGGCCTCCCATTGCTGCTGTCTCCATCGCCCACACTCTGCCATGTGCCACTTTCAGGTCTCCTCACACACACTGCTGGTGTGTAGAATTTTTTGACATAGGGTGCTGCCAGATTACGGGCCTCCCTATAGCTGCTGCCAGGCCCCTAATCTGCCATAGGCCCTATATACCGCCTCTCCTCATGCTGCTGCCAGGTCCAGAGTCTCTCATGGGTCCCTGTACGGCCTCCCATTGCTTGCTGTCTCCATCGCCACACTCTGCCATGTGCCACTTTCAGGTCTCCTCACACACTGCTGGTGTGTTGAATTTTTTGACATAGGGTGCTGGCAGATTACGGGCCCCCTATAGCTGCTGTCAGGCCCCTAATCTGCCATGGGCCCCTATATACCGCCTCCTCATGCTGCTGCCAGTTCCAAAGTCTCTCATGGGTCCCTGTACGGCCTCCCATTGCTGCTGTCTCCATCGCCACACTCTGCCATGTGCCACTTTCAGGTCTCCTCATCAATGCTGGTGAGTAGAATTTTTTGACATAGGGTGCTGGCAGATTACGGGCCCCCTATAGCTGCTGCCAGGCCCCTAATCTGCCATAGGCCCCTATATACCCGCCTCCTCATGCTGCTGCCAAGTCCAGAGACTCTCATGGGTCCCTGTACGGCCTCCCATTGCTGCTGTCTCCATCGCCACACTCTGCCATGTGCCACTTTCAGGTCTCCTCACACACTGCTGGTGTGTTGAAATTTTTTGACATTTGACATAGGGTGCTGGCAGATTACGGACCTCCCATAGCTGCTGCCATGCCCCTAATCTGCCATGGGCCCCTTATATACCGCCTCCTCATGTGCTGCTGCCAAGGTCCAGAGTCTCTCATGGGTCCCTATAACGGCGGCCTCCCATTGCTGCTGTCTCCATCGCCACACTCTGCCATGTGCCACTTTCAGGTCTCCTCACACACTGCTGGTGTGTTGAATTTTTTGACATAGGATGCTGCCTGATTACGGGCCCCTATAGCTGCTGCCAGGCCCCTAATCTGCCATGGGCCCCTATATACCGCCTCCTCATGCTGCTGCCAGTTCCCAGAGTCTCTCATGGGTCCCTGTACGGCCTCCCAATTGCTGCTGTCTCCATCGCCACACTAGTCTGCCATGTGCCACTTTCAGGTCTCCTCACACACTGCTGGTGTGTTGAATTTTTTGACATAGGGTGCTGCCAGATTACGGGCCCCCTATAGCTGCTGCCAGGCCCCTAATCTGCCATGGGCCCCTATATACCGCCTCCTCATGCTGCTGCCAGTTCCAGAGTCTCTCATGGGTCCCTGTACGGCCTCCCATTGCTGCTGTCTCCATCGCCACACTCTGCCATGTGCCACTTTCAGGTCTCCTCACACACTGCTGGTGTGTAGAATTTTTTGACATAGGGTGCTGGCAGATTACGGGCTCCTATAGCTGCTGCCAGGCCCCTAATCTGCCATAGGCCCCTATATACCGCCCGCCTCCTCATGCTGCTGCCAAGTCCAGAGTGTGTCATGGGTCCCTGTACGGCCTCCCATTGCTGCTGTCTCCATAGCCACACTCTGCCATGTGCCACTTTCAGGTCTCCTCACACTGCTGGTGTGTTCAATTTTTTGACATAGGGTGCTGGCAGATTACGGGCCTCCATTGCTGCTGCCAGGCCTGTAATCTGCCATGGGCCCCCGTACCGCCTGGTCACGCTGGCTGCTGAGTGTGACATGGGTCCCTGTACCGCCTCCCATTGCTCCCACTCTGCCATGTGCCACTTTCAGGTCTCCTCACACTCCTGCTGGTTTCCATTTTGTCATAGGTTGCTGTATGGCCTCCCATTGCTGCTGCCTCCACCGCCACACTGTGGCTCCAAACACTGGTTTTGGCCCCGTGACTGGCCAAATGAGTGAAGTGTGCGGTGATTCTAAGATCGACGGCACTCATCTGCATGTCATATTGAGTGACAGTATTATTTCTCTTCCCCAGCAGACTCCAAGGGCATTTAAATTAAAGGTACAGTGTTCTGCACTAATATTAAGTCTCTCTGAAGCCTAGAAACACCCTTTTTAAGTTAAATTCACAGCGAATTTATTCGACTCGAATCGAATATTGTCCACGAATTCGCCGAATCAGTCGAATCGAAATTTTCATTTCTTCGCTCATCTCTATTTGTGAACAGCAATTTTCAAGTCTTGCCATAGATTCTCAATTGAATTTAGGTCTGGACTTTGACTGGGCCATTCTAACACATGAATATGCTTTGATCTAAATCATTCCATTGTAGCTCTGGCTGGATGTTTAGGCTCGTTGTCCTGCTGGAAGGTGAACCTCCTCCCCAGTATAAAAGGTTTTCTTCTAAGATTCTTCTAAGATTTCCCTGTGTTTGGCTTCATCCATCTTCCCATCAACTCTTACCTGCTTCCCTGTCCCTGCTGAAGAAAAGCATCTCCACAACATGATGCTGCCACCACCATGTTTCACGGTGGGGATGGTGTTTTAAAGGTGATGTGCAGTGTTCGTTTTCCACCATACTTAGCATTTTTGCTTTTAGGCCAAAAAGTTACATTTTGGTCTCATCTGACCAGAGCACCTTCTTCCACATGTTTGCTGTGTCTCCCACATGGCTTCTCGCAAACTGCAAACAGGACTTCATATGGCTTTCTTCTTGCCACTCTTCCATAAAGGCCAGATTTGTAGAGTGCATGACTAATAGTTGTCCTGTGGACAGATTCTCCCACCTGAGCTGTGCATTTCTGCAGCTTCTCCAAAATTATCATGGGCCTCTTGGTTGTATCTCTGATTTAATGCTCTCCTTGCCCAGTTTGTCAGTTTAGGTGGTTGGCCATGTGTTGGTAGGTTTGCAGTTGTGCCACTCTTTCCATTGAACAGCGCTCTGTGAGATGTTAAAAGCTTAGGTGTGTTTTTTTTTTTTTTTTTTTTTTTTTTTTTTATAACCTAACCCTGCTTTAAACCTCAACTTAATCCCTGACCTGTCTGGTGTGTTCCTTGGCATTCATGATGCTGTTTGTTCACTAATGTTCTCTAACAAACCTCTGAGGGCTTCACAGATCAGCTGGATTTATACTGCGGTTAAATTACACCCAGGTGGACTCTATTTACTAATTAGGTGACTTCTGAAGGCAATTGGTTCCAGTAGATTTTAGTTAGGGGTATTAGAATAAAGGGGGCTGAATACAAATGTACGCCACATGTTTCAGATATTTATTTGTAAAAAATATTTAAAACCATTTATCATTTTTCTTCCACTTCACAATTTTGTGCCACTTTGTGTTGGTCTATCACATAAAATCCCAATAAAATACATATACGTTTTTGGTTGTAACATGACAAAATGTGGAACATTTAAGGGGTATGAATACTTTAAGGCACTGTATGAAAAAGTCTTTTGAAACTGAATGTCTTTTCAAAAAAACTCTTGAAGTAGAGAAAATACCTTTTGACCCTGACAGAAATTCTGTGTCAACTTTGCATCCTTTGGCGACAACACTGCCAATATGTAAATAAAATCCCAAACAGCGTCGTCTGTCCTGTCTGTCTTCCCCGCTGTGGGTCTAATGCTTTTGGTATTTTTTTTATCTGCGACGTGGAGTTGAGATTTAATATTTTCAGAGTTTCTTCTGCATAATACAGCTATTGTATTTGATGTAGCAGCTGCATTGTTTGTTTTCTGTATTATTGAGCATTTCTGTGTGGATTACAGATGGTCTCCTTAAAGCGGAGCTCCACCCAAAAAGGGGAAGTTCTGCTTTAAGGACTGTTCCCCTGCTCCCCATTAAGGATTGGCACCTTCTTTGGGGAGCGCGGGGGGGGGGTGGGGGGAGTGGGTACCCGAATTTGACAGGTACCCGCTCCCACTTCCGGTCCGATCGCCTAGGCAATCGGAAACGGAAGGTGTCCTCCCTCCCTGTAGTCTTTTGGGACAAGTGACAGGTCCCAGAAGACTACCGGACATGAAGCGCAGCACTACTTGTGCATGCGCAGTGGGTACCCAGCTGTGAAGCCGCAAGCTGTCATAGCCGGGAGCCCACACTGAAGATGCCGGCCTCCTGGAATACAGGACAGACGGTGAAACGGGCTGCGGGGGACACACCACGGGACCGAGGGACAGGTAAGTGGCTGTTTTTTAAAAGTCAGCAGCTACAGTTTTTGTAGCTGCTGACTTTTATTTTTTGATAGGGTGAGTGGAACTCCGCTTTAAATATCTGTAAAGAGTTCGTTCACCTTTTTTTAGAAAAAAATAAAAAATGTGAACTAACACAGTAATCCCCCACCATCCCAGCTGTATGTACCTGTCACTGCCCATGCAGCCGCTGTAGCGGTCTGGCTATTTGAAATCCCCACTATTCTTTCTTTCTGCACCACTTCCAGAATGGATTGGAGTGATTCTAACTGGTCCGTTCTGGCAAAGCATAACACCACTCTTAACCAACCACCCCAGAAGCCGTGCAGAAAGAAGAGTAGGGATGCCGAATAGCTGGACCGCTACATTAACTGTGAGGGCACTGACAACTCATCACCATAAGCGCACGTTTATGGTGATCATCTTTTCATTTTTTTTTCCTGAAAATGTAAACCTACTCTTTACTCCATTTTTATTTTTGTATTTTTCTTTCAGGTCCTGGATCAACATCAAAGTGGGAGGATGTACAAAGGAAAGCCAGGCATATACTACTCAACACGTATGGAATGTACAAGTGCTTTATTCAGATGCAAAGTTACAGACAAGAAGAGAGCACGGCTTGCGCCAACTGTTCCAGTGCCTAAGTCCTGTGGACTGCTGCTGCCTTGCCACAGAGCCAGCAGAATACAGCAATATAATCATTCACCTTGAACACTTTCTGAAGAGGAGGTGGTGCCTTCTGCAGCACCAGGGAAGCGCACTTTGTTTCGGAGCCTGTGATGCCACCAAGAAGGAAAGGCAATGCACCTTTGTGAAGTAATATATAGAGACCAATTTTAAAATGCTGTTTACAGATCTAAGCAAGTTTGCACATACCTCGGATCTAGGGTGAAGAAATGAAGCCCTGATATGAGGATCCAAAGAACACTGTTTTGGTGATCATATCTAATGACTGTGTCTTTTAGAATCTTTACTTGATAGGACACAACACGTTTCTAATAAACAGGTGTATCAGCATTCATCATTTGGCCGACAAGAGACCTATTGCCTGGCAATTCTTTCACATTCCTACCAGCTAAATGGTTACAATACTCCATAAAACAAATCCTTCCAGGCCAGTTTTATTGGCTTTCTGTTCCAAAGGTTGAGCAGTTGTTATATTTCAGTCCTGATGAAGCACAGTCTCCATAAACCATCATTATCAAACTACAGGTTTACAATGCAGCCTCAGGGGGACAATTGACCACGCTTCATGTTTTAGATTCTTCCTCTCTTCATACGGTTTTTGTGCTGCAATGATTTCTCTGTCTAGCTGATCTCTTATAAGGAAACGTTCGCTCAGGTTTACACCGTGACCTGATTCTTGTGCTATAATTAACCATTTTAGGAAGTTTCATGATATTCTTAAACAGTGTTTTTTCAGACTTTTGTGCTGTTAAAATTCACCTTGACAGCCCTGCCTTCCAAACAGTATGGCCTCATTCGCAGGGGTGCTGTTGTTTGTACAGCTTGACGAGCTGCTTGCATATGTGGCAGGAACTGCCTGCAGGCAGCATATGTTACATGTCCTAATTTGACAGGTGTGCAGGGGTGGGTGCGTGGTTTGGAACAGCGGGTGATTTTGGGGACACGCACCTGAACCTGCATGCCCATCCAGATAGGCATGCGTTTGTATGTACAGCCATTGTGTCCTCATAGAGTAACAGGCTGCTTGCATGTGGCTTCAGCCACATAAACAAATGGCTCTTTCACATGGTCCGTTCATGTGTTTAAGAGCTTGTTCCCATGTGCAGTGCCCTCTGAAGTGTGAATCCTGTTGGATCACTCTTCAGGGGGTATTTAGCAGGTGTAGAGAAGGTGTAATGTCTCCTCACCATCTGTTTTAACCCTGTAAATACCACGGTGCATTGAATGCGGTTTCTGGGTGGCCTTATAGACTTGGATTAGTCGCGTTCTGCGGTGGTAACTCCCACTGAATGTGACATGCTATTTTCATTTTTGCCACAGCATGTGTACAGCCTTGAGCAGCTGCATATCCAGGCTTAAGGTGGGCATTTAGGGAGCAGTAAAACCGCAGCTCAGCCACCTGGTTTTACCACGCCGTAGCTGCACATGTGAATGAAGTCTAAGGTTACAATGCTGTATATAAAATATAACCCACAGATTTCTTTATCTTCCTGCATATCTCAGCCAGTGTTGTACTTTATTTTTATTTTGAAGAATACATTTTAAACAGTTTGCTGTGCTGACAAACTGGGATTTTCATAACGGAGAAGTGATCAGTTAGTTCTTTGCCAATCTGTGGCCACGTAATATTGTTAAACATTTGAAGATATATTTTAGGCATACGACTAAATACATAGATAAAAAAAAACATATGATTGTATGCCTGCAAAATGATTTATTCTGTGAAGTTGGTTTTGTGATCCAGACACTACAGACATTTCCTTGACCTTCACAAACACAGCAGCATAGCACGGTCAAGTAAATTAGTCGAAACACACCTGGCCTGTTGATTGACTAATGAAAGAGCAGCAGAACTCTGACGAGGTCCTAATCCTGCTCTCTGCCAGTATGTTCATAGCCAGCACATGAGCACTACTAGGGAGCCTGACTGCTCGTGCTGGCCCTCCACTTCCCGATCTGCTGGTCAGGGGATTATGGGAGGCTGATACGACTTATTTAGGTAATCACACTATCTAAATTTTTTTCCAATTAACACATAACTGTTGTTGGGAAATCCTTTTTTTTTTTTTTTTTTTTTTTTCTTTTTTTTAGCTGCCTGCAGATCATCTTTTTTGTGCTTCTGAAACTTAACCATATGGCAGCTTCTGCCTGTATTTATATCTTTATCAGGTAAAAACAGCCATACTTTCAGAACATGAATCCTATTTTCATAGAGGGATGGTCAGCTTTTGATGTCCTTTTATATGATGACGGCCTCCTTGATTTGGTCAGGCTGAATTTGAACAGTGTTAATTTAGGAACGGAAGACCCGGATAAACAGTATATATTTGACAACGGTTCTATTCCATGCCTTTCACTGTGAAAGCTCTATAATACGTAGCGGATATAAAACTGATTTATTGAGTTCTAGGTAGACACAGCTGCGCTGTTGTCCAGTCGTTTCTTCTATTTCTTCAGAATCCTGCAGTGAGATTTTTCCTGTTGGAATTTCCTGCACCACTCCTGTGGGTGATTTACATACTGCCCCTTTTCCCAAGCTAAACAGACTTTTGTGTTTTTTTTAAGCTTTTATATTGGCTTAGTTGTTGGATTTCACACAAACAATGTATATCCTATATTAAGATATTCCACACTAGCTGTGATGAGAGAGAAGTAAATTTAGAAAAACATCTGTATTTTAAAGTGGTAGTAAACCACTGCCTTTCATTAAAAAAAAAAAAAATCCCCCGTAAGGCAGTGGAATAATGTGCATTGCATACTAGCACATTATGAGATACGTAGCTTAGAATGAAGCCCTCCAGCAGTGCGCTGTCACCACTGACAGGGCTTCCAGGTGATGTAGCTCCCACACGGAGTCATAGTGAGCATGGGAGTCATAGTTTACAGCACAGAGCTCTGAAGGGTCATCATGAGTATGCCGTCCCTTCAGAGTGCATTTGTCAGTCATGTCACTGGCTGCATCCAGTGTGAATATCTCCTAATCTGTGCACGCTTAGGAGATACTCACTACCTACGGGTATGTCTCCTTATAGGTACAAGTTAAAAACAGCTTTTTCTATCACTTTAACAAGTTCAACTGAAGTTGGTATTAAATCTTTACAAGTGTATTAAGTCCAAATTTCTGAAAAATCCAATTGCTGTAAAGTAAGATGGTGCAAGTTACATTTGTAAATGCTACACAACTTTTGCCCAATTTTTATTGTATAGATACTTGAAATCTGAGTTCAGTCCACAACAGGCCCTTCCAAAGCCACATGCGTTCTGTAGCATTGATACCCTACGTTATTACATCTGTTTTCACACACTTTATGTGCACTAATGCTTTTTTTCTTTTTTTTATTTTTCCCTTATGCTCATCCATTGAAATGTTGTTAAATGTGCCGATCCAACAGATTCTTTTTGTTTTAGGAAGTAATCCTCCACAAATCAAAAGTGGTACATGGTCTTTTGGACCTCCTTACTGATTTATTACTCTACCAGTTTTACTGCATGGATGTAGGATCCTGAATGTTTATTCTGCTGCAGTAAAAAATGGACACTTTTTTTCTTTTGTTTTTTTTTAATACACCGGTAGGGGTATCTTGATGGGTAATGGATACATTTGATTGACAGAGGGGTTGCAGATTTCCACTCTTTAATGACATGTTTCTTAAATGATAGCTTCCAAGAAGTGAGGAGCCCAGGATTTGTGTTTTTTTTATTTTTTGTTTTTTTAAACCTATCCAGTATTCTAGCTAAACTGCAGGGGTCTAAACAACCCTTTTACCAGCTCATATTGCTGGAAGTATTTGGTCTCTGCGCAACAAATAAAACCATGTTCCCCATTATCCGACAAGGATTGCAACTGTGCTAAAGCCAAAACTCTAATTACATTAATCTAAGATTAATCCACTGACGCTAGATTTTACAGAACATCTCCCATGTAGAGTGGGAATATCCAAGTCCTAAACCCTCTGTGAGGAACTTTTTAGGACTGATAAGCTTTCTGTCTGTGAGAGAGCAAGGCATAAGCAGTGAGTGAGTGAGTCTGTACTTTTGCTTCCCTTTTTATTATACAGCAGAGGCCCTGAGGAGGTAGACCGTGTTCCCTTTATATAGTCTGCCATAAAATGCCAGCTTCCCCCATATTCATACAGAAAACAGCAGTAGCCTGCATCCAATTAAAATCAGCTGGCACAGTATTAGTTTTACACTCTCCTATTATAAATCTCATGTATTCCATGGGAAACTGCACAAGCCTGAACAGAACAATAAACTTCAGATCATTGCCAAAATGAACAAACTAGTGTTGCAACTCTCTGAAGGAAAGCTCAGTGTATTTACTTTCCTTCTTAAGGTGCTGTGGGTTATTTAAACCTGTACAAAAATAATGAATTGTATTCAGAGTCCATGATATTGTTGCCTTGGTTCAAAGTATTGGCGTTGTCTGAAATATGGAATTGTCCTCTAAAACCCAGAGATGATTCTGATACCTCTCAAGTACTAACAAAGATAGGTTCCACTACCTGCATATGTTTCCTGATACTGGAGTCCAGCTCTGCCATTCAGATATAATGATGCTAGTTGAATGGATGGGCTTTTTTCTACCAAGAAATGTAACTAGCAAGGAGATTAAAGGATAAATTCACCTTATTCAGAGTGTAACATGTCACCCAGACTGGCCCCCACACCCCTTCGATCCCCCATTGTGGAAGCTAGCGGGGGATCCTCTCTCCCCACTAGCTGTCACAGTTTTAGAAAAGGCTGTGGCCATGTGGGGCTCTGCCTGCACTACTCATTCACTGTGTTCTGTGAATGGGATAAATACAAGACCCGGCAGCCTTGACTACGGTTGGCTTGTAGTTGTCATTGGATTACCATGGCACTGAGTGTTCAGTGTGTCTTCCTATTAGTAAGTATCGTCTTCCCTGTACGAGGAAGCAGATACACAGACAGGACTTTGCAGGATCTGCCTATT